GGAAAAAATCTGAGTCTAAATTTTCCATAGTTCAGCCACACAAAGTTTTGGGCAAATCCTTTAGGGTAGAAATGAACTAATATGGTTTTTTCCTGTCTGTTTTACGCACTTTATTTCATGATTGGCCCTCAGACATTTGAGGTGGGGGAGTAATTTCAATAATTTCAGATATTTTCCTCAAAAAAATATATTTTTTTTTCTTCTAAGGAAGACTTTAAGCTTTTGTCCAAAGGTATGATTCTTTTACTTGAAAAAAATATATCCCAAAATAATTGGAATAACACAGTAAATTGAAATTTATGATTTTGTGCTTTAGCTTATTCGTCTTAGTTTCTATCATTTTCATTGTATTTTCTAAAGAGGTGGAGATAAACTTATCTAATTGTTATCGTCAGTTAGTTGTAACTGTATAACTGGACTTGGTGGAACTTTAAATATTACAAAATAAACTAAAAACATAATTTACAAGTATGGCTAATAATCTCGCTTAACTCAAAGAAATGTTTTCTGCAGAGAGACTGTTGCATCCTCTTTTCCCTAATACAACCATTTCAACTCTTTTCCCATTTGAGAACTAATTAGTATGCAACAGTGTCTTAGAAAAAACAATATATGTAATACAGGTATCTACCCCTGATCATCTAAAATCTATCAAAAGTCTACCTTCAGAAAATCAGAAAGGAATTTATATGCAGTTTTAAATGAGGGTAATAACTTTGTGCTCTTGTCATTTGAGCACAGGTAAGAACTAGGATTTTAATCAAATAAGTGTCCAGAATCTTAAAAGCAGTGTGTCAAATTCAGATTGGTTGTGCATACGTGGCTTTTCACTAGGGAATTTCCACTTTAAAGTTGGCAGGCCTAATGAATGCCCTAAATTTTGTCTTTATGATTAAATGGTATGATATGTTCAAACTGCTCCCCAACTCCTTCCCTCTTGGCTGTTGGGAAAGCCTTGAAGCCCCAGCCTGGCGTGGGTCTCAGGAAGCCGTGTGGTGAGCACCCTGACTCCAGGCAGGACCACAACGCAGGAGAGTCAAGGCTTCTTTCTGTGCCAGAGATTCCAAGTTGGCTTTGCTGTGAATATTTATGTGTATATCACCATTGTTTAGAAATTGTGTCTCACAAAAGGCCCAGATTACTTAAGAGGAAGAGCTTCTTGTACTGTATTACATGTTTGGGTGATGGTCACATGAGGTTCACTCTGTATTCCTGTATAGTTAGTTTTACTTTATAACTTCGTGTTTGTATGAGTAATGACGTTGACAACTATGAAAAATAATTTGAGTTGTAATAAATAAACTGTGTGAACTGGTAATACTAGTTATACATTATCCTGTAATATCATTTCTGAATTTTTAAATTGCCATTTGCAATTTTTTTTCCCCCTGGAAAGGTAGCAGGCTCCCTCTAGTGCGAAGTGTAATTGAATTATTTCCCCCTCAAGCAGCGTAAGTTCATAATTAGGCTTGTTTGAAGAAAACGGGGTCTCTTCTGACTCTGACAGTATTAGCTCTATAATATTTGTTTATTTCTCTCTTCAAATTTTAGCAAAGAAAATAATACTGATTATCAAGGGATGTTGACAGGACAAACATGAGTTGAGTCATATTGATGAAGTGAACTCTGCTCCTCTATAAGCAAAAAGTGAAGTTACCAATCTGTGCCTAAGTATTAACTTGTTAGAAAATTATATTTATGAAATCTATCAATATATAAATTCTATATATTACTTCTTTTAAGTCTTTTACTTTGATAATTAAGTCATTTAAAGGATTATCTCATCTCTTGCCCTCATTTAACAGCTGAGTTTAAGTAACTTGCTTGATTACACATTTGAATGTCTGCTTTGACCTTTGAGTTCTTATTAATTTTACAGAACATAAGCCATGTTCACTGTAGCTTTTCTTACTTTGAGAAAAAAAAAGACCAAACTCCCATGCTTTTTTTTAAGATAATTAGTTTTCTGTCCCATCTCATTTATACTTTGAAGCTAAAACTATATCTTTTATAGAGTTTAATAACATAAAATTCTGAATCATCAAGAAAGATTTCAGTTGCACTCAGGAAAGAAGTAGCACATTACAGGTATGGTTTTTGGTTTTACAATTGGTAAAGATAACAAAAGAAAAATCTTAATGAAATTTATTAATGAGAACAATAGACATCCCAAAATGGTAAATAACCAATAACCAATGTGAGGAAGAAGATCATGGCAACTTATAGAAACTCTCAGTTTTAATACCCCACATCATATATTTCACCTATTCCACTTTTATATTTCCTCTATCAAAGTGTGTGCCTAATTGCTTTTTGGTAACTATTGGCAAAGTCAGTCTATACCAAACAATGATTGGCTCTCACCCATCGTTTTTTTTGTTTGTTTGTTTTTTCTTACAGCAAATGATGTGCTTGGTTTTGGAACACTAGTCAGCACTTCCAACACCTACGATGGGTCTGGTGTTGTGACAGTGGAAACTGATCGTCCGCTCCTCTGGACCATGGCCATCAAACAGTGACCCACTGACAGGCGTCCACAGGTGTGCCCCTGCCTTACCTCATTTGCCAACAGTTTAGTGCTCAACAAGGACAATTCACCTGGTTTGCAGGAATCTAAGCCTCTCCATGGGAAGTCAGCTAGTGTTAAAGATCTTAGAGTTCAGATAATCCAGGTAACATTATAAATGACAGATCTCAGTTTTTCCAGTAAAGAGGAAATAATGTGTCAAGAAGGTAAATAAGCTCTGCTACATTCAGCTGGAAAGCTGATGGGGATCATTTCCCTGTAAAATTCAATACTGATTATTCTTATGTTACTAACATTCCATTCATCCTAGAAAATCGTTTTTAATTTTCAAGCAGAGAAAACTCTACCGAGGTTCCTCTTGGAATCTAGCACATCCTTAAATGCCTAACAACAAGGGCTGCTTCTGAGTAACTTTTACAGTAGATTCCTCTACATATCACCTTTTACTGGGAAAAAAAAACTCCTTCCAGATTGGGATGTTAGAACTGTACCATTTCACTCTGGCCTTATTACTGTCTTTGATATTGTCTTTTAAAAATAAATCAGGAATCACTGACCTATTTGTTAAATTTGAAAACAGGTAGTTCTGTATGCTATTGGTGAAGAGAAGAATGATGGAAAAGATAAATGGTTGCTCATGAAGCCCTACTGATACGACTTCCAAACTCAAAAGTAAGCACCTGAGCTTCAGTTGGGTGACATTCCTCATCATTACAACCTTGATGGAAAAAGTTGTGCAGAGGAAACTTAAACATAAAAATTTAATTGTTGTGGACATAACTCAGACTGAAAAAAATATTGTTTCCTAGACCACAAGTTTATTTACATTATCAGAAAATGAGTCTGTCTGTGGGGATAAATGAACATCGTATACTATGAAGCCTACGTCTGAAGACTGTGTTCTCGTCCTGGTCTGCCATCTGCCTGAGTTCCCTGGATCCCTTTTCTTAGCTGTCAGATGGAAGGAGTTGGACTGATTGTATCCGAGGTTCCTTCCACACTCAAATTCTAACACTGACACTTAGTGGTTGTAAGGCAGATATACACACAGTTACTGACAGCCAGGTTAAACAACCTGAAGTGCTCAAATGTATTCATGTTTCTTTTGTAACATGTTTCTCTTCTATCATCCTCCTACTCTTGTATATCTCATTTATTAAGTCAAATATTGCCATACAAACCGTGATTTAAAGGAACCTGCCCAACTTGTTTTATGTATACAGCACCCTGTGCTGCTGTAGGAAAGTGAACAGCGACTGTTCTTCTTGGTGCTACAACAGTGTGGGGCTCAGACTGTAAGTAGAGCATGAAAAGGGGACCAGCTGAACTAACATGCAATTATGAACAGTTAATCATTAGGAATAATTATTTTATGCAAATATATGTAAAATTGCAATCTGGGTATCAAATAAAAATATTTAGTTATCAACGTGCATGTCTTTGGTCAGTTTTTAAAAAAACAATTCATTTCTCACCTGTATTTCATTATGGCGTGTCTCTACAAAAATTGATTTGCTCAGAGGATGACTAATAGCTATGGTAGTTCTCTCACCTGATTTCAGAGAGCAATTCAGTCCTGTTAACATTTCCTCATCTCCCTCCATGGAAGTTTCTCTCTAGATCACATGTGACCGTTGTTTACATTTAGTCTTTTTGGACCCCTGTTGCTCCAGCTATAAAATAGGGATTGTATGTGGCACCTCTTTACCTTGTAGGACTTAGAAAGGGAGGGAGATAGATTACTTTAAAGGATATTTATATAATGGAGAAAAAGAGCCAATAGGGAGATAGAAGTAACTGCCATAGTAGAGAAAGTGAAGAAAACTGATAGAGGAAGAGCCCTGGGAGGTGAGAGGAGATGGTATGGGAGAGTCACAGATCATATCGTCATTGCTGCAGGGGAAGGTCCAATTCCAGCCTTTTCTGCATCTTCTCCACACAAATGCGGAGTCCAGAGCTTCTGTCAATACGCTGCCTACCTTCCCATTCACAGAAGAAATCATTGTGAGGAAGCCACGGGAAAGTCACTGGCTCCTTCACTGACTGACTCATTCAGCTTAGAACCTCCAGCAACAAACCTTGCCTAAGACCTCCACACTGCTGCCCCAAACAATACACTCACCAGAAGAAACCAGGAGGAGCAAAGGTGGTGGCCAAGGTGGCTGTGCAATGCTGAGTACTTGGTACTCTCTCTCCTGGAAGCTGAGGCTCAGCTGTGCTTCCATTTTCAGTTTCTCAAGACTAGTTATATATTCATCACTAGAAATATATTCATAACATATAAAAGAGTTATGCCCATTATTTTAAAACTTTACTGCCAAAGCATGCATGTCCTGTTTATCCTGAAAATTTCACCAGTCTTAATAAATGGATACTTATCAAAAAGAATATAGTTTGCTGAGGCTTAGTGAACACTGAACAGGAAAAATTAAAAAATAAATAAATAAATAAAACATTGAGACCTATCTCATACCACCACATAAGCTGTACCCACTGGAGGTTTATCAAAGGGATTCTTTTAAAGCATGGGCCGCTATTCCCAACCCCTGCCAGGCTGCTGAAGAATGAGGTACTGGTCTTATTATTTGTCCCCTTCCCATTCCTTTAAACTACCTAAGAGTAATTTTCTTTTCTATGTGCTTCCCCACCATATCATTTAAAATGTCTATTTATTATTTATAAGTGTCTATTTATTATCATTTTTATAACAATATGCATCTGCAGATGGTGAGATCTCAGGTGTCCCCAGTGAACTATGTGAGTCTCCCAGGAAGCCCCTCTTCTCTCATGTTCAGTTCAGATTCAGCTGGTAGCCATGAAAGAGAAACTGCAAGTTGGGCCCTGCTGGGGAAAGTAACCTGTGCTCCTTGACCCACTTGACTTCAATCAGTTTATTCTTTCCATGGGTCAGTGCAGTGGGTTGAATGGCCCCCCAAAGTCATTAAAGCTTAATCCTCATTGTAACTGTTGAGGGTGGGAAATTCTATTATGGTAATTGAAAGGTGGGACCTTAAAGAGGTGATTAGATTCCAGTGACAATGCCCTAATGGATTAATAATGGTGGCCATGGGTGTGGTTCTGAGGGCTTTAAAAGGAGAGGGCATGAGGAACTATCTCTCTCTCTCTATGCTCCACCATTTTCTGCCATGTGAGACCTCTGCACTGCTGTAAAGCCATCACCAAAGACGACCCTCACCAGATGTGTTCCTTGGACTTTGGACTTCCCAGCCTCCAAAACTATATGCAATAAATTCTGTTTTCTTATACATTACGCAGTTCCAGTTATTTCTGTTATAAGCAACAGAAATGGACCGATACAGTCAGATTTGTAGCTTTTATAACTCTAGTGACTGTCACCCCAAAATGGCATCTGGCAACCTAAATCACTGATTAGTGAAAACATGGTATAAATGGGCAGCAGGGAATATCTGAAAATGGCTGAAGCCATTCAAACCCTGACTGAAGTCACAAGTGACTATGAGACGTAGTAAGTTATATGTATGATCTGAGGAACGGGGTGTGGAGGGGAGTACGGGTCTAGCAGGGTAATACATTCTTATTTTTTAATTTCTGTGAAGCAGACAGTTTTCTCTCAGGATGGGAACTAGGGCCCTTTCACTAGTCACAGAGTCACTTAGAGCAAAGAGGAGGTGGACATAGCCTGGGTATTCATAAAGGTAAATGCTCCAGCTTTTGTGTAATGCACAGAAGTATATGGAGCTGACCTCATTTACTACTCCTGCTCAAATTCCTTCTAAAGCTTTGCTTGAGCTATCAAAGCAGCACACGGATTTGATGTGATTGAGACTGATGATAATTGTCAAGTCAGTAAGCAGTAAGAAACTATTCATCTCTCCCCTAAGGCTCTGTGATTATAAAGGGGTATGGTCTAAATGGTGACTTTCAAACTACATTGACCATGACCCACTAGAAATACATCCTCCCTTGGGACCTAGTGAGCAGACATACATACATAATGAAAATGCAGTGTAATCTAATAATTTTATTCTGAATTGAAAAGCACTCAGAAATATGTATTCTAGATTGATAAAACACACCTAAGAGCAAAATGCATAGAGGCTTTTAAAAAAAAAAGCGTGTGTGTATGCATGCAAGTGTTCTGCACATAGTTCCTTCATAAGTTAAGGACAATAGGAGTGTAATTTTAAAAACCTTTCCCATCAATGGCTTAAAACATTCCATTGTTAAAGTATTTTAATAATGTGTTTTGGACCTTAAATAAATTTAAAAACTGGCATATCTGAGCAAAAATATATTGGAGATACAACTTATTCGCCTCATAATTTAATCAGAACATTTTTCTACCTCAGTCTGTTTCACAGCCTCTGTCTTTGTCACTTAGTAATAATACATTTTATTTTTATATGTTTATTAAGAGGAATAACCTATCAATGGCATCAGGCTGAATGTGATCCTATTTGGGTCTAGTAAAATCAACTTAACTTGGTTAGGAACTTGCAGGAGGGTGGTATTAGGTTATTTAAATTGTCTTTAGAGCAATCTATTCTGAATAAAATAAATGATTCTTATACCTGTGGAGACTAAAACTGAAGCCACAAGGTCAAGCCATTCATAAGGAGTCAGTATACACAGACTGGAAAATTCCTGGCATATACAGTACAAGTTGCCCTTCCTTGCTCATAGCAGATTTCACTAATCAATCACGGTTTTCTTTTTTGATGAGTCCCAGCCTGAGCTCAGAATCTATCTCAAAGTAGTTCTCCAGCAGCCATGATCAATTATTCTCAATTGGCTTGGCATCCCCGGAGGCTTGCAGCTAATGTGTGATTTTACCACTGTACACAAAACAGCTCCAGCTACAACCTGGAGAAGAGAGCATGGCAGCATCACTCTTCTTCACAGGTAATGGGTAGTAAGAAGATTCAAGGACTTGTTCCCTCTGTGCTTAATTCTACCACTGGAAGGGCTTTACACACAGCAAAATAAAAACTAATTCCGTCCCTACAAATAACTTGAAAAACAAACAGGGCCCTGAGATCTCTCACAGTTGAGAGGTCAAATTTCTTGTAATTGATCGATAGCTGGTCCAAGAACCAAGAAATCTAAGATATACAATACTGAGTTAGTGCACAAGTTGAAACTTGAAAAACAAACAGGGCCCTGAGATCTCTCACAGTTGAGAGGTCAAATTTCTTGTAATTGACCGATAGCTGGTCCAAGAACCAAGAAATCTAAGATATACAATACTGAGTTAGTGCACAAGTTGAAATGTGTATCAGTCTGTTTCTGTTGCTTATAACAAAATACCTGGAACTGGGTGATTTATAAGAAAATGAAGTTTATTGCTTACAGTTTCAGAGGCTGGAAGTCCAAATCCACGGAACATACTTGGTGGTAGCTTTACAGCAATACAGGGGTCTCACATGGAAGAAAATGGCAGAGCAGAGAGAGAGACTAACCTCCTCACGCAGTCTCCTTTTAAAGCCCCCTCAGAACCATGCCCATGACCACCATTTTTAATCCATTCACTATGGCTTGGTTCTACAATCTAATCACCTTCGAAGGCCCCACTTTAGATTTCCCACCTTCACAACAGTCAAAGAGGGGACCAAGTTTCTAATACATAAAACTTGCGGGACACAATTCAAGCTTCAATGAGTTTGGGGGAACATTCAATTCATTACAAAATGGTTTTTAAGTATTAGTCAAAGGAATTGATAAAAGTAAGATTACAGATCATACCTTTTATTTCCTTAAAAAATACCTTTAAAACCTAAAGACTAGTGAATATTTAATAGTCAGTTATATGTTTAAACAACAAACATGGGAAACTATGAGTATAAAATTCTGTAAGAGTTGGGCAGAGTCCCATCTGAATGGCATAATTAATTTCTGCTTAGTTGTTGAATGTTCTAAATCCTCTGCTAGAATATAAACCTATTGGGGGCATGCATGGACTTTTTCTTATTATCTGGTATAACCTCTGCTCTTAGAATAGGGTCTCATCTGCAGCAAGTGTGCAATAAATATTTGTGTGGTACCAATGGTGCTCCAACTAACCTCCCCACTTGTACCCATGCTGAAGAAATATACTCATGGCTTCCTGAGTCCCTGAAAACTATTCTTGTTTTCCTTCCTTGATCCCTAACTATTTCAGCTTTAAAGTAGATCTACTAAAGTTGTCCTTGAATAGGTTCCTCAGTCTTGAAGGTAAGTGTCCTAATTCTAGATTAGGTAGACCACCTTGTATCCCTGCTCACTCACGTATCTGAAGAAGGAAGTAATGCTCACAGGGCTGAGGCCAGCCTGAAAGGCATCAACCAAGGCAGAACATTCAGCTACTTACAAAGGAAAATCAAAAGGCCAAGGGATTTTGAGCTGTTTGAAAGGATGGATGGGGGAAAGTAAAAGCAATGAGGCAGGTGATGGCAGAGGTTTGGGACACTGGGAT